TTTTTCTTTCAGGAAGTTTTTTTGAGATCACCCAGATCAAAAAGGTGAATTTGAACAAAACATATTATCACTTTATGCTTGCTTGTATACATAAAGAATAGTTTTTAACTTTTCATTCTAAAAAAAACTCACTGACTCACAATGGATGTCACACAGTAATATAGTGTTACTTGGACATATAACTTAGGAGTAAGCAAAGAGAAATCAAGCATTAATGAACTAAGGATCAAAATACCTCACCTACTATTAAAAAATTAGGGTAACAATGGTCACTGAGAATTAGTGAGACACAGAATTCATGCTGCTATAGCACCATGTCATTAGACTGATTAAATAAAAATCAACCCCAATTATATAGCTCTAATCAATGAGCTAAACATAATAAAGCAGAGATTGCATGTGCCAGATCAAAACAACTCTTTGATAATCTTCCAACACAAAGAACGCAAGCTTTGAAGCCCAGCTCACGTCCCCTGGGAAGCCTCTGTGAGGACTTTCCTAAGCTCCTCCTCGTACCTGTTCTCCTCGAGGCTGCTCTCCTTCCAGCACTTAGCTCATGGTTTTAAAGGTGTCTTTGTTGGACCCCAGTGGAATCCCATGAGTCCCATTACATTTATCTTAGTATTTCCAAAGCCTTACATACTGACCGATGAGGTGATCAGAAAAGACTGGCGGAATAAACTGAATGATCAGCAGGAAGGGAAGCATCGAAGAAGAGAGGCAGGGAGAGAAGGAAGTAAAGTTGGTACACAGAATTTCAAAACTGTTACATCAGTGAAGGCACCGTCTTACTTTCTGCAAATAAACCAAGATGGGATGTAGGTGAATTTTCAAAAAGATTAGTTAATGTTGCCATATACTGTAGGCTCTCAGGTCATTTTACGATTTCAAAGATGTAACATGCATTCAGTACACACACTTGATTCCATGTATAGGTAACAGACACATGTAGGAAAGTCACCAGAGCATAGCACATTCTTTTTTAAAGGCTCTGAAAAAATGAACTTGATGGTATGGGACAAAGTAAAAAAGGGCCTTGAAAACTAAGCTAAGGAAACTTGGCTGGCTGATTAGTTCAGTTGGTGTGGACAACACTAAGGTCAAGGATCTGGATCCCCTTACCAGCCAGCTGCAAAAAAAAAAATTTTTAAAAATTTAAAGAATCTGGATGGTAGTTTTAACGTGTCTCATTAAAGATTTGTAGGCAAAGAAATAAATTAGGAAAGCAACAATTCAGCATATGAACTCAACCAGAGAATTCAGGGAGGATTCTAGCAGAGCTGGGAACAGAAATACAGCTCTTGAGACAGTAACGTAGCCTTAACGCAATGGGTTGTGAGAAGAAATTCAGTATCCGATTCTTTAGAAATTCTTTGAAGAGCTGGGTTAGGATTCTTCAGGAAGAAAAATTTTAAATCAATTTTTTATTTAAAGCTTCAGAGATGAC